AATATTCGAATATATAATATATTCTTTTGTCTGATAATTTTATTTTATTTAGGTACCTACTACAATTAAAAGGAGTTAAATTATATATATTTAGTTTTTATATTTTTATTGGTATATTTTTACATATTTTGTGCTATACCTGTACAATTTTATAATTAATTCATTTTGTATTGATTTTCTATTAATTAATATCTGTTAGTGTTAACAATGATTTAGTATATAGTATATAAATATATTGTATGTATATAAATGTAATATATAATAAATTATAATTAACCTGTTTGTAATATCAATGATTATTATATTGTTTCTATCTTACAATGTATTGATATGTATAAACAACAGTTGGTTAAATCAAAAATAATGTTGTTAATCTTACATATTTGTATAATGTACTTTATTATCTATAGTAAAAATAATAAAAGGTTTGTTGATATGAATAAATCAGTGTTTTGATTTGAGATAACCATGGTTGATATTATTTACAATTACTTGGTTAATTTCACCTATGTTCAAATCAACAGAGTGGTTGGTTAATATGACCTTAATTGCCTTGTAATATTAATAAACGGTTTGTTGACCGGATTTCAACGAACAGTTTGTAAATCCAACCTAACATTTTCTTAATAATATCTAGATATTTCTCTGGGTGTAAATATGAATTTACATACAGAATAAAATTTGTAAAAATATTTATTTAAAAACCTTACCTAAACGATCTTTCTACTGAGCAGGAAGTTACAGGTAAAGTAATTGCAATTTGTATTGCTTGGCATACCGCTGGGTAATATGTGGCGTAATCGAGAATATCAATTAATTTCATGGTGGGTTCGACTTCTTTCTTTTTCCATAGATCATATCATGACAGCGCTCTTTAAAATTGTCTAGAAGTGAATCATAAAGTGTACAAATAAATTCAACACTTTCTGCAAATTGTTGGTCGCTCATTAATTTCATTTTTTTGGGGTGTAGGTTGTATAATGTAAATATTTTTAATTTTTCATCTGAAAATCTATCTTTGAGAGACATTATAACTGATTCCAAGTATGGTATAAATAAAGATTGTCTAAAATATACCTCCATATCGTTAGTTGGATAGTTTTCACGATGTACTTGTTTAACACTACGCCGTGGTAACTTTAACTTAAGATCTATTTTAGAAGCAACTAATTTTACTTCATTAAATATTGAATTAAATATATTCTCACAATTATTACGGTCTATTTCTAACATTGATAATAGGTCTTGAATATGTTTTGTAGCTTCTTGCAGGTCAACATCTATCCCTTGAAGAACTGTTGATACAGTTTCAAATTTTGCAGAATATTTTGCCATGATTGATAATATTATAACAAATGTTGGAGTAGTGATTGCAGTAAGCATTTCATAGCAACGCTGTCTAGTTTTGCTGTTAAAATTATTCGATTTTGATATTTCTTCCAAGCCTTCAACAATTGTAACATATTGGTCCTTAAATTTTCTGATACATTTATGTTTTTCAACAAACCTTGTTTCGCATAATTTTGGCAAATTATTTCCTACAATATTTCTACGAAGTGCACTATCTCTAACTAATGTAGTAACTTCTTTTATTTTCCCTACACAATTTCTAACTTTGGCAAGAGAATTCAAATCATTTATTACCAAATTCAAACGATGACTAGCACAATGGAAAAAATTAGCCATGGGGTACACATTATTAATTCTTTTTTGCACTCCAGATATATGGCCAGCCATCGTAGAACATCCGTCATACCCCTGTCCAACACATTTATTCATATCAATATTTAGGTTAGTACATGCTTCTAATATTGTTTGAGTAATAAATGAGGCATCAAACTCTTGTAAGGGGAAAAAACCTAAAAATTCTTCATGTAAATTTTTATTATACAGATACCTTACACAAATTGATAACTGCTCAGTACCATTGATGTCAGCCGTTTCATCAACAATTAATGAAAAACAAAATGCTTGCATAGCTTCATTAGTAATCACAGATCTTAAACTAGAAGATAAACATTCTAATAATTCATTTTGCACACGGTGTGATATGTACAATGCATTTTTATTGGATTTTTCTAAATGAGTTTTTAAAGTCAAATTACCAGCATCAACCCTGAATTTTAATAAGTCATTAAATACTGCAGTGTTGTCTGTGTCTCCTCGAATCGGTAAATTATGTATTGCACAAAATAGAAGTGAAGAAATTATTGGCTTTAATTTATTTCTATTTTTTTCAATTTTATTTTTATAACAAGAATCTAACACTTGGTCAATACCACAGTTTGTTTTTTTCATATCTTTAAAATCTTTGGATCGTATGAAAGATTCAATATGCCATTTATTTTTCTCATATTGATTAGCTTTTTCTACAAATTTTTTATGATTTACAAATGAGCTGGTAATAAAAGATCCAAAGTATGAACCGTGTGTCACATGAGCCCGAAAGAGAACACAAGTAAGGCAAAGAGCTCCTTTCAATAACTTTGAATATACTAACCATGGGTATTGTGAAGACCATTTATACAAAAATGGACGTTTACTGTCTTCAACATCATTTTTAAAATTATAATGTTTACTAGGCTTCCATGGATTAGTTAAAAGGTCAAACTTTTTATCTTCAGAAATTTGTGAATAAGTTTCTATAAAATGTCCTAAATCGTTATCAGATAGCACATTGGTGTGGTCTACAGAAATTAATGCAGGATCAGCTATGCATTCTTCTACTTTATCTTTGTGATCAATTATAGCAAGTGACTTCTATAAAACCATAACAAATAAATGTAATGCTTATTACAATTAAAACAGTAAAATAAAAATATAATCAAAAAATTGTGAGTTTTATTTTTAAATAATTAAAAAGATTACCTACATTATAATTATTTAGTAGTAAATAGTTATATTCATAAAAAAAAAATATTTAAAATACATCCTATTTGTTATTTAAGTAGGTAGTAGGTACCTAGCCACCTAGGTATACTATTGTATTGTATTATTATATTAATTCATTTTTGATAAAATATTAACGAAAAATTAAATAAAAATAATCAAATGTAAGAAACTCAATTTGTATTTTACAACACTTCTTTAAAATTAGGTTCATCAGTATGGTCAAAAACAAATACAGGGTCATCTACACACTTCTACTAGTTCTACTTCATGATGATCAATTGTAGCAAGTGGCTGCTATAAAAACAATACAAAATAAATTTAAATTTAAAGAAAAAATCTTACTTTTAAATAATTAAAAAGACTACATTATAATATAATTTATAACTGAATTATTAATTAGGTATTTAATTAATAGTTATATTCATGAAAATAAAAATTGACCTTATTGTGCCAATAATATTGGCTATTTATTATTTAAATATCCGGGTATTCTTGTGAGTTGTATTTACTGAAAAAATGTATACTTTAAGTATGAATGTAATTGATTTAACTCGCAAAAACAATAAATTGTTATGATGGTAGAATGTAATTTTAATAAAACATAAATAATCCAATATAAGAGCTTATCTTTTTTGTTTTATCATTTGAAAAATAAGAGTCACGTGCTCTCATTTTCTTCTTTTTAGGAACTGAATCCATATTTGCACTTTTGTAACGATTTTTTTTAATAATTTTAACTTAAAAATTAGTTAATTTGTAAATTGTAGGGCAACAACAGTCAACACTCAACAATACGTGGACTTGGAAAACACAATATTTCGTTAATCGTTTAATAATAATTTATAAAGAGTAATCGCACACTTCTACTCATGATAGCTGAACACATTACCCAGAATACCATAAATGTAATAATAATAATGTAATAATGTCTGTCAAAAGATTTCTATTTCCGTCGTCAACAGGCTGCTTTTATAATCGCGTATGCTTTCTAAGTATTTTCATTTTATTATTATGTTTTTCATACACGATTCATATATAATATAAATACTATTATTAGTAATTTATTACTATATATTATTCGGCAATAAGTGAGATCGACTATTTATAATTACTTTGACTCGTTCGCGCTAACAGGCAATCTGTAGGAACTAGCCAAAAGTGACTTAT